TTCCCCTGCGTATGGTGGCCAGGCCGGCGGCGGTGGCCATGGCTGGTGTGAGCTCGGGTCCCAGCCCAGCTGCCCGCCCCTGTGGTGCCCAGGCCCCGCTGACCTTCTTGTCCTTCTCCGAGCCGTCGGTCAGCAGCACGCCCTTGGCCTGCATGTGGCGGTAGAGCACGCGCTGCAGCGCGGACATGTCGCACTTGATGACGTACTCCACCTGCGGGACACGGGCGGGTCAGGCCTGCCCGCCCACCTCGGCCCCACCTCGGCCCCACCGCCCACCTTGGCGGCCTCCCCACGGCCGGCCAGGGCACGGGGCAAGTGTGACTGCAGGAGACTGGCAGGGACCGGCCCGGCTGCAGGGACAGAACCCGAGTACGGCTGCAGCAGGCCACGAGAACCAGGGCCACCCCAGCCCGTCCTGGCGCAGTCAGGGACGACCAGTCCAGGCGTCTGGCCACTGACAGGTGTGGGGCCTGGCAGCCCGACCTAAGGAACCTGCCTGGTACCGGTACAGACCCGGTCTCAGTCCCGAGCTGGACCGGGCAGGGCAGGACCTGCGCCCTCGAGGCCGCGCGGACGCCCTTACCTTCTCGGGCAGCTGGGCCTCGACCTCCTTCTTGAGGCGGCGCAGCAGGAAGGGCCGGAGCACCTTGTGGAGGCGGCGGATGATGAGGATGGTCTCCTCCTCGTTCAGATCCACCTGCGGCCGACAGAACCCGCGTCACCTCCGCGCCGGGGACGGGGCAGGGACAGGCTCGGGGTGTGTCCCGGGGGATCAGTGTGGGCCGGAGCTGGCCAGGGGTGGACGGCCTTCCCAGTGCAAGTGAGGACAGGCCGGAGACAAAGGGGTCTCGACCCGGAGCGAGATGGTCCTTGGGCACCCCATGGACACTCTGGATTTCTTTTCTTTCTTTTTTTTTGTAAAAAATTATTTTATGAAGGGGACCAGCAGGTGGCATGGTGGTTAAGGCACTGGACACTCCCACATGGCTGACCACAGTTCGAGTCCACAACCTGGTGGCTTGCTTTCTCACTTCCCTTCTCTCTGTGTGTCTGTCATTCTCTGGTCAAATGAAAATAAATTGAATGAATAAATAAAATTAAATAAATAATTCTTTTTAAAAAAAATTCTTTTACTGGGACCTGCAAGTGGCATGGTGGTTGGGGGTGCTGGACTCCCACATGGCCGACCGTGTGGGAAATAAATAGCTTCATTTACTTATTTATTTTAATTAGAACAGAGGAAAACAGAGTGAGAGAAAGAGAGGGAAAATGAGATAAATAGCTTTATCTACTTATTTATTTTAATTCGAACAGAGGAAGAGAGGGAAAATGAGAAAGCAAGCCGCCAGGTCCGGGACTCGAACCGCACTCGGCCATGTGCGAGTCCAACGTCCTTCACCGCCATGCCACACTGGCCCCGACGCTCTGGATTTCTTACCAGAAGCGCGTGTGGACATGCCACGGCGCTGCCCAGGGTAACGGAAATATCTACTTATTTATTTTAATTCGAACAGAGGAAGAGAGGGAAAATGAGAAAGCAAGCCGCCAGGTCCGGGACTCGAACCGCACTCGGCCATGTGCGAGTCCAACGTCCTTCACCGCCATGCCACACTGGCCCCGACGCTCTGGATTTCTTACCAGAAGCGCGTGTGGACATGCCACGGCGCTGCCCAGGGTAACGGAAACCCACCAGCATGTCCACAGCCGCTCCAGGGACCCAGAGTGGCACATCCCAGATGCCTGGCTTAACCAGAGGGCGGCCACGGGCTCCGCTTAGCAGAGGCACAAAGCCCCTCGTGACGGCCTGGGGCGAGAGGAGGAGACATTGCGCTCCCAGGGCCCTGCTCCATGGTGAAATCATGCTCTCATCTCCGAGAGAGAGGGAGGGAGCCCCCCCGAAGGACCCTGTACTCTCGGCCAGCCCAAATCCCGGAAAGGCTGTGGGAATCGAACCCAGGACCTGCTCAGGGCCTACCTAGCTCTCTATCTATTTATTTACACAGTTTTGCTACAGGGTGTGAATGTTTGTTGAAACGGAGCCGGACAGAGGGAAAGTAAGAAAGCACTCCCCCGGAGGGATGGCCACACCACCCCGCCTCCTCCATTCGCTTACTGGGATTTTCAGCATGCATGTGCACACGCTGGGCCTGTCTCTCCAGCCTCCAGGTCTGGGATTCAAATCCTGCACTAGGTCATGTGGGACCCAGCTTCCTTACCCTCCACGCCACCTCGGGCTCATGAGACGTTACCTTTTTTTTTTTTTTTTTAAGGGTTTGGACACGGGGCAATTCA